AGTTCTTGGACGAAGAGGGGCTGAGTCGAGCGCCTCTTGAGCGACCAGCAAGGGCGCGGAGCCGCAGCCCCAAGAGGAGGAGCCGGGGCGCAGCCATGACGGGGATGCGGCCGGAGACCCCGCCAGTGAGCCAGAGGCCGGGCGCGTGACTGAGCCCCACGAGGCGCCCCGCGTCCTGGCTGCCTCTGCGGCCGCGTCACAGAGCCCAGAGCACAGGGCTGATGTGGCCTAACCCTGGGGGTGGGGACAGCCTAGCTCGGGCCCAGAGAGGCGAAGGGGCAGCGGGGCCACACGGAAGCTGGGGTAGGATGCCCGTGAGCTGCACCCCAGCAGAAACACAGGGCCAGGAGCCTGCTCACCGTCCGCTTCTGGGGTGCTGGCCTGGATCCAGGGAGAATCAGAGAGGATTCCGTACCAGGCCTCCAATCAGCTTGCTGAGGACTGATCAGAGATCTCTATCCCAGCCTGGGTGGGAATGGTGCTGCCCTCGGTCCAGTCCTCCTGGTCTAAGGCTCACAGGCCCTCCTAAAGCAGAGCTAACCAACTCGGAGCCTGAGCCTCCGATGGGCACTGACCCCGAGCCGCACTGGGGCGGTATAAGGGTGACGCTGTTGGTAAGGTGGAAAACGGTGCTGGTGTCCTCGCCCTCAGGTCCTTGTTGAATCCTGTGGATTGAGTGCCGCTGGAAGAGCTCCACCCCACCCTTCACGGTAACAGCAGGGATGCGCTGTCCTGCAACTGCCACTGTTCACATGGAGGAAGAATCGATTTTCCGTGTGCTGAGTCCCTCTGTGGGGACTTTGTCAAAGATTGTCGTTTTCCTTTCTCTCCACTGAATCCTTCCCATTGGCACATGCAAGCACTCTAGTATCTCCTAACCTAAAAAGCCCCTTCTTAGTCCACATTGCTAGGATTCCTTCTGCATCAGAGGTTCTGGAAAGAGTGGTCAAGAGTCTCAGCTGCCTGCTTTGTTCTCCTCCAGCTCCCTCCCGGCATCCTCCTGAGCTGCTCTGGGAGACTTCAGCCCCTTCTGAGTGCTGGCCTTCCTCATCCTCTCATGGGACAGATGACACTCCTCCTAGGAAAGCTTTTCTGCTTCCTCCTTCTTTCTCCTGACATTTGGGTCACTTTGCTGTCTAGGATTCCTGCTTCTTCCCTGAGCTGGAAGGTCCCTATCAGTATTGAGGGTGGTTTCTTTTTAGCAGGATCTCTGGATATGGGGGTCCAGGACCCTTTTTGCTGAGTTGCTATACTCTTCCCACTCCTCCACCCCTCTGCCACTGATGTTCACAGCATCATTATTCACCATCACAAGAACATGGGAACATCCCAAATGTCCAATCATAATCAAACGGATTGAAAAATTATGGTTCATTCACATGAAGGAATACTATGGAGCATGCAGGAGCAACGATTTCAAAATACTATATAACATAGGAGACACTAGAGAGTATTATGCTGAGTGAACTGAGTCTCATAAGGACAAAGGATAAGTACACTAAGGCCATTATACTAAAAATAGAAAGATAACTAGTAAAATGTATATGAAGATCCAAGAGGGGAAGAGAGGAAGCAGAGGAGTGAGGATGGACAGGGGAGACACCACAGGGTCACATAATTTGGGGGATAGAGAGCAGGAGTGAAGAAAATGGGAAAGATCCAGTGGGGACCTGAAAAGGTGGGGTAAAAACAGGCCTAGGTCAATGGTGATTAATTTTATAAAACACAATGTATGGGACTGTATTAAACATAACATGAAGGAAGGAAAGTGTGAAACACAAGATAGACAAATTTTGTATACAAACTAATAAGAAATTTCAAAATGTTACCAAAAAAAGGGACATGCTCAGTCTATGACGCTGATGCTACTTCTAAGGCAGGGCCGTGCAAACTCTGCAGGCACCCCAGAATGCTGAGTCTAGTAAAAGCACAAAACGACCACATCTAAGACAAAACGAGCAAAGGCAAGATGGGTTTAGAGGTAATCTTACATCGGCTGAGGAAGCCGACTAGCACATTATAAGCCTGCAGCTACCCCAAGATAGGATGCAGGGACAAGAGCTATTCCTCTTTCATCATTAACTCAACTTCCTGTTTTGAGATTTACAGACATAAAACTTAACTTTCTTAAGCCAGAGGACATTTTAAATCTCAGGCATTCTAGTGGTATCCCTTAGTGGAGACATTTCATGGTGACCAGTGACTTAAGATTTAAGTTACAAAAGTGTAGTACTTGCTTGCACTCCCTGGGACTGGTGACCCTGGGCCATTATATTCCTCCCTGAACCCATTTTCCCCTCTGTAAAATGGGACTAATAGCACCTGCTTCATAGAATCATAGAGTGTAAGTACTGTAATGCAAGAAAAACCCAGTATCTGTCCCATACTAAAATGATAAATGTGAAACCATTTACGGCAGCATGGACAGTGAATCAGGGCGACCTCACAACTCGGGGTAGAACTGGGTTCTGTAGGGCGTTTGTTCAGTGACTCATTTTAAGGAAGTATATCACTAAGCCTTTCTTCCATGGGTTGCTACATTCCTTCCCAGAGTGCTCTCATTTAGTCCACTTACATGCCAGCTGTTACCACATCTGGGTTTTCAGCACTCATCTTTCTTTGAAATGATATTTGCACATGGCTATCTACCAGGGTCTAATTAATATCATGGCCAGAGAGACTTTTGATGTTCTATGGCATATTCAACACTCTGCCAACACCACAATTCATAGGCATTTATCCTTCTTTGGGTCTTCCTTATTCATTGTCTAATTTTCAAAAGCATACAAAGCAATTTAAAACACTATGGCTTGGATCAGGTAGGTGCACCTTTTTTTTTTTTTAGGTCAGGGGGTAGGTAGGTAAAAGCAAAACCAGATTTATTAGGAAAGAAACATCCCAAAGGAAGGGACAGAACATCTTCTTGAGGAAAGGAATGCAGGAGGCCACACTTTAGTCTTTAAACTGGTATCCTTGTTCTTTAGCTCTTTGGAGGGGTACTTGATAGGAAATTTTTCTCAATGCAACATGTTTGGGGTTTAAAAAAATTTTTTTTTAATTTTATTATTTTTTTTGTGTGTACCATCAAATCTGATCTGACTTGTGACTTGTACAGGAGGAGATTGTCCCTTCTTCTCCAGCAAAGCATCTGGTATATTCGAACTGCGCACCTCTGGGATTGCAGTGCAGCTTCTTGGCACTAGGCCACCAGAGCTCCACAACATGTTTTTTTTTTTTTTTTCTCGACAGAGTTCCTGCCATGAATATTGATGGTGGACCCAGGTAAAATGTAATCTTTGCAGAAGTAGACTGCCATATCTTTCTTCTGTAGAGCAACTAGTAGGTACCATCTGCCATGCCAACCTTTGGGCAGTTCGAGGATCTCACCTAGATCTACCTTGCATTTATTTGTAATGATTCTCAGCTCCTCTAGGATATGAAAATTTTTCTGGCTTTCCTTGGTCTGGATGACCTTTAAGTGTTAAGAAATGATGGTCAGTTACACTGCTATAAAAGATGTCTTAAAATAAATTCTGATATTACGACTGGAATAAAAACTCATTTGCAAAAAAAATGTAAAAAAAAACCCAAAACCAAAACCAAAAACTCATTTGCCTATTGAATTGTAAAAACAACATTACAAACACAATAAAAATTAAATCATGTCTCTGAATTTAAAAAAGATAAGAAAAATTATTAATTATAATAATTCTATTTTTTTTAAAAAGAAATAGATGTTCTGTAATGTCTTTCCATTTGGGTTTGCATGCCGTTTTGCTCATGGTTAGAGTGGAGTTAGTAAGATCTGAAGAGGAAGATCACTAAGGGGAAATGCCATTCACATTACATCATATCAAGTGTACCTGCTGTCTGAATGACTTGTTGCTGTTGATGAGAACCTCAGTCACCTGACCGAGACAGTATTTGTGAACTATCTCCACTGTGAAGTTACTTTCTCGTCACTATTCTGTGACTATACTGTGCTCTTGGGAAGCAGGTCATTAAGCACAGTCCACAGGTATAGTGTTGAGTTATGCTCACTTCCCTGAAGGGCTGCGTATCAGAGGGTTATTTTTTAAAAGCTTAGATCTTGATATCCACTGCTGCCAAATAAAAGAAACTATGGTAAAAATTTGAAATACCTTGCCTTAGACTCTACCCTAACTCAAATCCAGTTCTGTGGACCTTTTGTAATCTTCTTTCAACCTCTGCCTCTCCAGCTCTGCTTCAGACATGGCAGCCTTCTTGCTGTTCCTCAGCCATGTTAATCTTACATCCATAAGGGCTTTCTAGGGAGCTCTGGTGGCCTGGTGGCAAGAGGCTGCACTGTAATCCTGGAGCCACGTGGTTCAATCCACCAGCTGTTCCATGGGAGAAAGATGGGAAATTTCCTCCCATGAGAATAACTGCCTCTGAAAACCAACTGGAGGGTCAGCTATGGGTCTGTTCCCACTCAACAATATACAACAACAACAACAAGGAATTTCTATCACCAGTGACTTTCTATCCCCTAAAAATACCTAATGAATAAGTGTATCTTCACTCTACAGATAGGAAAGCAGAATCTAGAAAATCTTGGCGACTCCAATGTCACCAACAAAGTGGCAGAGCTAAGATTCAAATCCAAGCCTCTTTAATTCAAAGCCTGAGAGAGAAAGTTCCTGGAAAGAAATCCCAGTATTGAGAAGGTAGAAACAATTTCTTATTTCTTGGAAAGGAATATTGATTTACTCTCTCAACAACTCAAATGTTGGCTCTGCTGAGAGAGAAGGGAGAAAGAAATGCCATTGTCTGAGAACCTACTATGTGTCCTGCAGTGTATGAGGAACCTCACTTCTACATTGAGTCCTTTCAGTGGGGAGGGCTTATCAAGTCAGAGTGACATCTGAGAAATGCTGAGCACCATGTTCAAGCAAGGCACACCACCACTGGCTCAGACATGGCCAACAGCCCGAGAGGAGCCCCAGGAGAACATCTGCTGCCCAGAGATCACGTCTTACCGTCCTCCGTTTCCACATAGAGGCGGAGTCCGAGGTCCTTGTGATGGTTCAATAACCAGCGATCACTGGCTGCTGTGACATCCAACACCAGCCAGCCCTCGTCCCCAGCTTGAAGCGTCTGAAGATCCAAAAAGAACAAGTCAGACTCCCTGTGGACACGAAAGAACAATTAACCAAGGCTGGCACGGCTGCCTTCTGTTTCTAGTGCCCATGTGGGGGACATATATGGAGCATCTATCCCTAGGCTGTATCTGGGCTGGGAGACTGGAGTGCATTATTTCATTACATCAAAGATGCACAGATGTGGAAACTGTTGCTCTGTTTTCTCTTACACAGGTGGGGAAATTGTGGGACAGGTGAGGACCTGTCTTAAGTCCTACAGTCAAGAATGGCAGGGCTTGGATTTAAAGTCAGAACTGATGCTGAGGTTTTTTCTCAAGAGCCAAGAGGGCTCCAGGTCAAGGAGGATTTTTGCCGCTAAGTCTGGTCTGCCCAGGAACCTTCTCTTTCTGTCCTCTGAAAGCTCCTCTCCCCTGTTCCAGGACTGGACAAGACATACCAACAGACACTTGACTTTGAGGGAGGAGGCTCATACCTGTTGGACTGCTCTTTGACCACCTCAAACAAGCTGACATGGAGGGTCCTATTGACCTGATGGGTGCTCGGGACCTTATAAATCCGGAACTCAGCAGCTGTAACTGCTTCCCCAGATGGAATCTGGGTCAGGTCAAACCAGAACTCCTTCCAGCAGGGCTCTTGACGGGTGAGGGCATGGTCGTGCTCCACTGGAAGACAAAGCAGGGCCATGGTCAGTGATGGCACCAGAACGCAGGCTCAGGCCTGTTTTCAAGGAAAAACAAGGTAAGTATGACATGTTCTGTGAGCCTCAGATCAAGTGCTAGGGTCCCATGTGTGTTCTAAGAGGAGCTGGAATCTGAGCTTGCTTCCAAAGGATAGAAAGGGATCTTGACAAGCAGTAAAGGTGATTACAGGGCCCTCTAGTTAAAGAGGACTCCTATGTGCAGGCATGGAAGCTGCCAAGAGTCCCTGACCTGGGTCCAGTACAAGTGTGGCTCTGGTTTGACTCGAGGGCTTGATTTCCAGGCTAGTGTGTGGGCTATGCTTGCCTGTGGGATCACCAGGATTCTGGGCAGTGGGAAGGGCTGTGGTTTGAGTGGAGGTGGTCTGAGGGAAGGCTGTAGAGGTCAGGGTAGGTGAGGAGGCAAAGTATGGAGGTGAGGGCTAATATAACTGTGCAAACTCTCAGGTTTCGGAACAAACCCCATATTTCCCCAGCTGCTCAGAAATGCCCAGGACTGTGAATTTTGGGTAGCCTCATGCTAGCCTCCTGTCACTTTCCAACACCAAAAATCTGTGACTCCGGAAAGCAGAGGCGGGAGCCGCCCAGTGCCTTCCTCAAAGCCCAACACTGAGATTTTAATTATATGTCTGTAAGTCTTTTTAAAAATTCTTTGTGGCTACTGGGCTCAGTGACATAGTCAGGTTTTAAAAAGCCTCAGGCTGTGCAGCCCAAGGCGGATGTGGGCAGCACGTCCTGTCCTGGTGGTGGGCATTTGGTCCAGTAATGGGCAGATGAGCAGCTGTGCTGGGTGGGACCCAGGGGACACAACATGCTTGGATAGGAGATAGACTGGTCCCCAGGTCAGGAAGACAAGATCTAGAGGTCCAGCTGCACCCAGGTGCTGGGCACCCAGCAGCTGTCCACCTGAGACCATTTCAGATGTTGTGTGACACAGGAGGGAGCCAGTCATTCCCACACAGGCAATCCTGGGCCTGTATCTTTGTTGAGCGTTGTCCTGTGAATATCCTCAACCTGAGCACCCTTGATGAGATTCTCTCTCTCCCTTCCCTCTCACTCACATGCACATATGCATACCATGTACCGCAGTGGACTGCTATGGGGCTGAGCAAAATTAATGATCTGCAGATTAAGCATGAAATAGGTCTGGGCTGTTGCTGTTCCAGGGTGTGAGAAAAGGTGAAGAGTTGCTCAGTCACACCCTTCCTGGGCTGGTCCTTAAAGCTTCATTGTGTGTGTGCATCAGCTCACAGGGGTTGACAAGTGGGTGCTGATGGCTACTGGGGAATCACTGCAGGTCTGGAGTGGTTCACTTTCCGGACTGAAGGACAATCATGAACCTGACAGCTTCATGGGGCACCAGAGTCTGCGGATTCCCTTGCTCTCTCCCTTGCAGTTCAGCAGTTAAGGAGCAGGCACAGGGGTTACCTAGGCTGCCTCAAGAAAGCTTTGCTCAGCTAGCCTGCTCCTAGTTCTAAACCTCCATAAACCACCCAGGAGTGCCAGCACAGGAAGCTGTCCACCCTGGCTGTTCCAGGCAAGTGCTAGAAAGCAGGAAACTTTCAGGGAAATGGTGATTTTTATCCTAAACTGATGAAATGTCCGGAAGAGTAACATTAAAATAGACATTACTGAAAAGGGCCAGAGGGAGCAATCCCTTCCTTTGCTGAATCTTTAGGGTTACAGTGGTTGCTTCTTTGGATTAGAAAAGATATTGCTCAAAGAATGGCATTTGTTGAGACCTGGCAAGAAGTAATAGCTCCTACATCTCAGCCTTTACCCTACTACCTATCAAGTACCTTCCCTTTGCGGTCCCGGCCTTTTCATTTGTGAATCTGTGATGAGAATATAGGCCTTTCCTCCTAGGACATGAACGGGCTTTGTAAAAGCCAGGTAGGGGGAGCTGTTCATTAGGGGCTGAAGAGGAGTGCTAATCTCAAGTTTTCCGACTTAATTATCCTGCCTGCACCAGTTTGAGGCCTTGTCTGAAACACCATGAAAGTCATGGGGGAAGAAAGGGACATAGACAATTTTCTTTTTACATTTAAAAGTGTGGAATGAAAGAAAATACAACTGATGGAAATAAATCCATTAAACAGGCTTCAAGGTGCCTGCTTTTTACCTGCCTGATTTAGTCGAAGGCACTTAACCCTCAGGGCTTCTGTGTACACATCTATAAAATTATCTCGTGACACATGGTCCAATGAAAGCTGTGAAAAGTTAACTTTGTTACTATTGCTGATCCTGGATTAGTTCAGCAAGTATTTCTAAAGTATTCTTCAGGAGCATTTCAGTATGCCTTCACCCCCAGCCTCTGCCAACACATCCAGCCAGCTCTCTCAGAGTAGTTTGGGCTCTAAGGCGCAGTCCCTCAGCAACACTGCTCAGTCAATCCCTTACATTCTGTGGGCACAAGGTAAACATGGATTCTTTATAAAAGTGCTTCAGACTCAGAACATCAGAGTTCAAAGGGCAGAATCACTAAATCCAGTCTCCATCCCGTTTATATACATGTGGAACTGGAGTCCAGGGGTTCTTCTATTTAGCGTCAGATGCTGTCAGAACTGCATAAAAACTATGCTGGAAAAAGATGTTTGAGAACTTGAGACTGGAGCCCAAATACACAGCACAGGATGTCTGTCACCGCTTTCCATCTTCTGCTATTCTAGGGCTTTCCCAGTGAAGTTGCTACCAGTGTTAGGTATGGGACACTTATTCCAGGGACGCCTGCCATACTCAGAGACACTGAGTGGGAGAGGCTTACTCCTTTCCCAGGCCTCTGTCTGGGTCTCAGTGATCTGGGATGTATCCTGTAGGAATCTTTCCTCTGTGGTGGCTTTGAGAAGGACCACTGATGTTTATAGTAAGGTATCTGAGTAGCAAATTATTTTCCCTGTCTGCAAAATCTAAACTGGAACGTCTTAATTTTGTTGTCCCATAATTTCACCCACCCCTGGGTACCTAGAGAAAGATGTCTATGCTGACATCTCATGGTCCAGAGGCTTTATAAGAACACTCATGTCTCCCGTTCATTTTTTTTCCAGTTTATATGTAGTAATATTATTAATTCATTTATTTCACAGATTTGAAAGCAATTCTTGGTGTGTGCAGTCACTATTTAGGCATTGGGGCCACTGCAGTAAATGTGATAAACATCTCTGTTTCCACAGAGTTTATAATCTAGTGAAGGTGTCAGATAATCAGTAAGAAAATAGACAAGATTGTTTTATGTAGTAAGTGAATAATGCAAGGAGAGGGGGCACCTATTTGTGATTTTAACTTTATTCTACAATAATTTTAGATTAAGTTGCAAGAATAGTAAGAGACTCTACTTATACTATTTACCCAACTGAACAATAACACCTCATGTAATGTCAGGTGTGGCTGAGTCAGCTCTGACTCAGGGTGACCTAGTGACAGCGGAACAAAGCACTGCCTAGTCCCAAACCATCTTTATCCATGATCACTGGCATGTCTGAGTGCAGTTAAACAACACTCTGTTGTGATCCACAGGATTTCCCTTGGCTAATTTTCAGAGTAGATACTAGGTCTCTTTTATTCCTACATGTTTTAGCCTGGAAACTCCACTGAAACTTCTCTAACCTGGATGACCCTGTTCGTGTTTGAAATTTCAGTAGCATAGCTTGCAGCATCACAGCAACATGGGAGCCAGCACAGTATGACAAACTGACAGATAGGTAATTGAACATCTTATCACACCAGGAAATTGACACAGGAAAAATACCATTAATGAAACGATAGGCTTTTCTTGAGTATCACTAGTTTTCCCACCATGTTTCTTTTCCTGTTCTGGGATTCAATCCTCGAAACCATGTTATAATAAATAATCATATATTCTTTTAATGCTTTAAACTTAATTCTTCAGTTTTCCTTATCTCTCACAATCTTGACACTTTTGAAGAACAATGATTCTTTTATATTTATTTTTATTTTTTTAAATTTTGTAGTTAGTTTATAAAGGTGCACCTGATCCAGGCATGGTCTTTGCAATTACTTGCTATGTGTCAGAAAGCTGGACAATGACTAGGGATGCTAGAAGGAGAATTGATGCCTTTGAGCTGTGGTGCTGGAGAAGAGTATTGAATATACAATGGACTGCTAGGAGAACAAATAGGTTCGTTCTGGAAAGGGTGAAACCAGACTGCTCCTTGGAGGCAAGGATTCTGAAGCTTTGTCTGACATACTTTGGACATGTTGTAAGGCGGGATCAGTCCTTGGAGAGGGACATCACGCTTGGGAGGGTGGAGGGACAGCGCAAGAGAGGATAAACCTGGATGAGATGGATTGATTCAGTAACTGGGGTAATGAGGTTAGGTGTGTCAGAGACAATAAGATTAGTACAGGATAGATCAGGGTTCAGAACTGTTATATACAAAGTCACTATGAGTCCTCAATTTAGGCTTATTTAATGTCAATTTGTGTCTAACTCAAGGTTAAGTGGAGCTCTAGAGAAGGGTTCAGGAGAAGAATACCACAAAAACAATGTGCCTTTCTCTCAGTGTATTAAATTGGGCAACATGGTATCAATCTAGTCAGGTTAACTTTGATTCCTTGCTAAGGTGATGTCTGCATGACTTCTCAATTATAAAAATGTAATTTTTCAATTAAAACAACTATGAGATATCATTCCACCCTAGACAGAATAGCAAAATTTAACAACAGCAAGCAACAAGCGAGGTTGTGGAGAAACTGGAACCCTTATTCACTGTTGGTGGAAGTGTAAAATGGTGCAACCACTGTGGAAGGCAGTGGGGCGCCTTTCTCAAAAAGTTGCAAATAGAGATACCATTTGACCCAGCAATTCCACTACTGGGAATATACCCCAGAGAGACCATAACTGACACCCAAGCAGATATATGCACACCCATGTTTATTGCAGCTTTGTTCACAATAGCAAGGAGTTGGAAACCATCTAAGTGCCCATCAACAAATGAATGGATAGAG